CTTTCTTTCTTTCTTTCTTCCTTCCTTTCTTCCTTCCTTCCTTTCTTTCTTTCTTTCTTCCTTCCTTCCTTCCTTCCTTTCATTCATTCATTCATTCATAGTTTTGCCTGTTCTCTTTAGGTTTTAACCTGAAATGACTTTTTGGTATGGTGTAAGGTAGGGGTCCACCAGGGATGTGCCATCTGCTTCCCATATACCATTGCTGCAGGTGACAGCCATCATATTAAGAGAGTTCTGGAAGGACACTAACTCTTCTTTCATGGATCATCTTTTTCCCCCGGCAACTCAGGTGGGATCGAAACAGAGTCATTCACTATTCTGGGGGAGATTTGGTTGCAGTGTCATCCAACCGGAAGATCCAGCTTCTAGATGTCATACAAGTAAAGGAGTTACCCATTGCGTTCCGAGGCCATGCTGGGAGTGTCCGCGCCCTCTTCTTGTGTGAGGAGGAGAACTTTCTACTGAGCGGGAGTTATGACCTGAGTATCAGGTAAATCGTCCAAGGGAGTTGCGGTCCATCCTACCCAAGGCCTAAAGTCAGCTTGTGCAAGAAGCATGCATGCTTTTTCCTTTTAGTATTTATTGAAAAGTTATCCTAAATGATACTGACTTCTTGAATAACCCGTAACATTTTTTTCTTTATTTGACAAGGTAAAAACCAATAATTTGTATATTGTTTAAACTTTGAATGAGACTGATTTATAATGATTATCAGATCTGTTTTCTAGATGAAGGCTGTGAATCGGAAAGTATCTTTTTTAGCACTCTTAGATGGTGGCATAATTTATATTTCTTTTTATAGATTCTTCAGGGAAAAGTGGTTGTCTGTGGGTATGAAATGTGGTATAGAAGCAAAATAGTGTTTAAAAATGTATATATACCTACACACATATTTTTAAACAATATAATAAACAGCGATGTACTATTACTCAGGCCAAGAAATAGATTGTTACCATTCCCCAAATCCCCTTCTTTCTCCCTCCCAAGCAGAGGTAATGTTATCCTAAATTTTATACTAATTATTCCCTTGTATTTCTTTATAGTTTTGCTGCCTATTTATAGATCTCTAAATATATTGATAGCTTTTGTCTATTTTTAAACTTAATGTAAATAGAGTTGCATTTAAAAAATTCATCTGTACTTGATTCTTGCACTGAACCATGATTTTGAGATTTATGCATAAGATGTAGGTAGCAGTAATTAATTTATTTTCATTGAGACATAGTCTTTTATTGGGTGACTATATTATAACTCATTTCATCTTTTGTTGACGGATGGTTGCATTATTTCCAGTTTTTTATTCTTTCAAAGAACAAACATCTTCTGCTCCAGATGTTCTTGGATGTGTCTCCTGGTACCTATGTGCATGAGTTTTTAAAAAAATTTTTTCTGGGGCACCTGGCTAGCTCAGTGGTAGAGCATGAGACTCTTGATCTTGGAGTTGTGAGTTCAAGCCCCATGTTGGCTGTAGAGATTACTTAGAAAATTAGTAAAAAAAAATTTTTTTTACTAAGATATAATTGACATACAACATATTAGTTTTAGGTATATGATATAATGATTTGATATATGTATATATTGGAAAATGATTACCACAGTAAGATTACTTATATCCATCACTACTCATAGTTACATATTTTTTTCTTGTGATGAGACCTTTTCAGATCTACTCTCTTAGCAACTTTCAAATGTATGATGCGGTATTGTTAGCCATGGTGCATGAGTTTTTCTTAAGGTTTATTCTTTGTAGTGAAATTTCCAGGTAGGAGTACTAAATTGTTTTTTTTTTTAAAGATTTTATTTATTTATTTGACAGAGAGAGAGACAGTGAGAGCAGGAACACAAGCAGGGGGAGTGGGAGAGGGAGAAGTAGGCTTCCTGC